ATATATATATATATATATATATATATATATATATATATATATATATATAATATTACGTATATGCATATTATATATATATATATATATATATATATATATATATATATATATATATATATATATATATATATATATATATATATATATATATATATATATATATGTATATATATATATATATATATATATATATATATATATATATATATATATATATATATATATATATATATAATATATATATATATATAATATATATATATATATATATATATATATATATATATATATATATATATATATATATATATATATATATATATGTGTGTGTGTGTGTGTGTGTCTATATATACTATATATATATATATATATATATATATATATATATATATATATATATATATATATATATATATATATATATATATATATATATTTAAATGCATTATATATGTATGTTTTTATGAGTCATTGAAGAATTACTAGTGGTAGTATTTCTGAACTTGAAATATTTTAAGGACTTGAAAAAAGTACTATAAAGAAGCCATCAGCTTTTGCATTGATAGCAAAAGATCCTCTTTTAAGTTTGGATGTTTTATAAATTACTGATGATATTATTCAGTGTGTGCTAAGCAACCATTGTTACATTAGATACATATTATGGTCTGTATATTACCTTGTCTCTTATTTGAAAAATCTTGTCTACTAAAAGACATTATCAAGAGAAAATCTTTGAGGCTATTAAATAAAAATTAAAAGTTTAGCAAAAATTAAGTGATACTCACAAATACAGGATTGTCAGTATTATCAGTAGAATATATCAGTGAACATTCTTTCTTTGATGTAACCATGTTTTGAGATTCTCTTTGAAATATCTGCTGCATGCAGTGAAAACTTACCTATATTGAAGCAGTGCTATGGTATTCCTTCAGAAATTATAAGGTATACTGTCAGCATGATTTAGATATAAATCTAGACATTTAGTTCATTCCCCACTAGACCCCATCCAGCAAGTTTCTTACAAGTCATAGTGACTTGCTATATCATCTTATTTTTTTCATTTATCTTTTATATTTAAAAGTAAATCACATTATTTCTATTGTTTATATATAAACGGAATCCATTCAGACCTTGTTACATGTAATCATTAAAGTTAAGCATAAAACAAAGTGGTTGACAACCTATCTGACTTTTCTTCATTTCTTTAAATCTTGAGGTTATATTAGATTATATAGCTTAGAAAGGAACCCAAATTATTATTATTTTTCTTCTGAATCAGGTAGCACGTTATAGATATTTCTTTCCTTTTTTTCATGATTTTACTGTGCATGAAAGAATGTGATGCAGGCCATGCTATTTAGTACATGTGGAGACACCTGGTAAATGCTTTAGATTCTAAGAATAATCTAGTCATTCATGCAAATGATAACAAAATATCTTGAGTATGTCTTCATCATTACTAAAGAAATGAAAATGCACTTTTTAGCCCGGTGAAATTATCAGTGCCAAAGGTTTATATCTAACTCACAGGAAATTTGGTCAAGGTTACATGTACTGATCTATGAATAAAAGGCTGAGAATGTATTGGTATTGATCATTATAGTTGTTGATTACATAAGCATAAACATAAAATGGACTCACATGTATTAGTTTTATTGAAATACTCACCACTTCTATATTTTTTGTTTGGAGAAACTTTTTGTCTTGAGATTTCTTATTGTTCATTTCCTTGATCAGGTCTAGTGTGTTATAATTATATTCATCTACAAAGATCTTAGTTATGTATCAGTTTATGTGTAATTAATTTTTGCTCTCATATATCAACCTGTTGGATCCAGGTGATGATGACATCGTGTCCTGTAAAGTTTTGTTTGAGGGGCAGGTGAAGAGATAATATGGAGTCTGCTCAATAAAGAGTCGGTTGCATTCTTGATATAGCATAACAAATAATGGCAAAATGGCAAAACAGCATACATGCATATCCAGAGAAAGAGCTACTAACAGTGTGAAGAGGAGATTACGAGTCTTTATATTGCATATGAATATTCATGTGGGCCAGGCCAACAAATCACACACCCGAGAGAGCCACCACTCGAGTATATATATACATATATAAACATATATACATATTACCTCACTTCTATGTGTTAAACTGGTTTTTTTTTACCAGTTGCTTAAATGATTGTTCCAGTTATAACAAATGGAACCCATTTTTATAGCATGTGAGTTTCTGATTATAGTATGGGAGATACAGATAAATATAATTATTTTGGGGGGTCCTTTGGTTTCTCTATATAGGAAGCTTACAGACCTTGCCCTTGTGGGACAAGGCTTGTTTAATGAAGTACTTGTGCATGTGTTTTCAAACTAAGGTTCCATATCATACCATATGGTTCATCATGGGATATATTAGGTGGCTTTTCTTAACACAAGACAAAAAAAACATATCATATTTGTATAGAAAGTGGACTAAGTCACTTTCTTTGTCTGGATTGACTTATGTGGGAGAAAAAAAGTATTGTAATTCTCGTCAGTGGTATTGCGGGAAATTTTATTTCATATTTATATTATGTTAGTAAATTAAGTTGAAGTGATATTGTCTGGATTGACTTATGTGGGAGAAAAAAAGTATTGTAATTCTCGTCAGTGGTATTGCGGGAAATTTTATTTCATATTTATATTATGCTATTAGCAATCATTGTGAACAAATCTCAGATGAAGAATGAACATGAAAATCCAGTCTTGCTAGCAAAAGAGAGTACATACTTGAGCTGCATAGAATTCTTATATTAGTCAAGACTGTAAGTATTCTGGATTTCTGAAGTTTCCAGTAAACAGATACATTTCCCTGTGATATTCACAACTTTTAAACAGTTTTCTTAATCCTGTTGATTTTTACTTACCAGGAAGCAGTCAGATTGCAGTACGAAAATGACTTTATAATGATTTAACATTAAAATAGACAATATGATAAATGCATACAAGTCTCATGATTCTAATGTGGATAGTAAGATGTTATTTTTTTTTTTTAGACTAGCAAATATCAGTCATCAGAGATGGGCTTTAGGGAATATATTCAGTTATTTAGCCCAGAAGCTATATGTATGATCATCCAAGAAAAATAGAGACATAAAACAAAAGAGGCACAGACAGATTTCCAAAATGAGAAATTTCAAGACATGGAAGCCTTAATGAGATATATTTAAGAAATAATCATTAATGCTGTTTTTCAGATTTAGGACGCAAAAGATGCAAATTCCTAGACTGCTAAATCTATTATTGTTATGCATATGAAATGGACAGGATGTAAACCATCAGCTGAATTGCATTTTTACTTGACATATCCTAAAAAAATAAATGTCTTGCTTTGCATTTTAGCAAGGGAAGCTGCCAATAAACCTGCCACATTTAGACCAATAAAAGACATTAAGTACCAAAACTCTTTTCCATAGTAAGTGCTCTGTGTGATTAATATATATATATATATATATATATATATATATATATATATATATATATATATATATATATATATATATATATATATATATATATATATATATATATGTATATATATGATGTTGTAGTGTTAATTGGTGTTGACTCATAGGTCATATGCACGTACCCTAAATGATTGTTTCTTTTGTTTCTGCTTCTTTGTTTTCTTCCTTTATTTTAGCCTTTCTGTTCACCTTGTTTCTTTGATATATACTTCCTTGTAGTTTCTTCCTTATTAGTTGCCAAGTTGGTCAGACAAATTAAATCCACTGGGGTGAATTATAATTCTGCATTATATTGATTAATGTAGATTCATATAAGAGAGAGCAGTTCATTAGTAAATAATGCTAGTAGCATCTTCATTGGCTAGGTTTTTTACATGCCAAATACAAATATCTATGCCACTCCAACAAGACAAGGAAATTTCTTTGCTTTTAAATGTACTTTACAGATTTCTGAAAACCTTTACAATAAATAAATAAAAATGTGCAAAAGTGTATATATGTGTGCATGTGTGTGTGAGGGGGTGGATGTAATATCTATCTATCTATCTATCTATCTATCTATCTATCTATCTATCTATATCTATCTATCTATCTATCTATCTATATATCTATATTATTATATAATCTATATTATCTATCTATATAATATATATATATATATATATATATATATATATATATATATATATATATATATATATATATATTATTATATATATATATATATATATATATATATAAATATATATATATTATATATATATTATATATATATATTATATATATTATATATATATATA